TGTGTACTCACAAAACAAGGACGACCCCCAACGTTTCATTGAGAAACGCACACTTTTTGAATAATGCTTTAGACAAAAATTCATTGGGTTTTATATGAGAAAAGTGTTCTAAAAGGCTTTAAAAGCTACTTGCCACTCAACAGCCCAACAGACAAAACCTCCAGGACTATAAAGAGCAGTGACACTCCCTCCAATGAGATCTGCCTCGAAGCACTGGTTAGAAAAATCATTAGTACAAGCATAACGTAATTTTTAAAAACATCAGATACTATTTCTCTATTGTAAATGGTGTTTCCTGCCAATCCTTTTAGTCAAAAGAGAAGGAAGTATGGCCTGGGGAACAGAAAGAAAGAAGGTGAAGAGATTAGCCAGAGAACATATATGCACAGCCCATGGGCACAGACAACAGTGTGGTGATAGCCAGCGGGGGGTTAGGGCGGGTGGAAAGGTGAGGGGCTGGGTGGAGATGAGCAAAGGGCGAGGGTGGAGCGGGGGATGGGAGACATCTGCAACAGTGTCAATAATAAAAAACAATAAAGAAAGAGGAAGTTCAAAGTTAGACTCACCAGATTCTGCCCCATAAGTAGTTGCATGCCTTTGCTTCAGTCCATTAACCTCCCTAAGCATCAGCTCCTTCACCCCTAAAACAATGCAGCCTCCTGTTCCTGGATGCGTGCTCCACCTCCAACCTCATGTTTTGGCGTAGGGTGATGACAATTTTAATTACTAATTAAGGAGCTCCTTGATTTATTCACTTAAGAAATATTTGTTGATACTACAAGGCAACAATAATCAAAACAGCATGGTACTGGCATAAAAACAGACATGGATCAATGGAACAGAATAGAGAGCCCAGAAATAAATCCATGCCTTTATAGTCAATTAATATTTGACAAAGAAAGCAAAAACATACAATGGACTAATGATAGTCTATTCAATAAATGGGGTTGGGAAAATTGGACAGATATGTCCAAAAAAATGAAACCAGACGACTATTTTACACCTCACACATGAATAAACTCAAAATGGCTTAAAGACTTAAATGTTAGACCAGAAACCATAAAAATCCTAGAAGAAAACATAGGCAGTAAAATTTTAAATATTTCTCGTAGCAATATTTTTTTCTGATATATCTCCTCAGGCAAGGGAAACTAAAGAAAAAAATAAACACACTAAAGAGTTTTTGCACAGCAAAGAAAACCATCAACAAGATGAAAAGACAAACCACTGACTGGGAGAATCTATTCACCAATGATACTTCTGATGAGAGGTTAATATCCAAAATTTATAAAGAACTTATAAAACTCAACACCAAAGAAACAAACAATCCAATTTAAAAAATGGGCAAAAGACCTGAATAGACACTTCACCAAAGAAGACATACAAATGGCCAACAGACATATGAAAAGACTCTCAATATCACTAACCATCAGAGAAATGCAAATTAAAAACACAATGAGGTAAAACCTCACACCTGTCAGAATGGCTATCATAAAAAAAATCAACAAACAAGTGTTGGCGGGGATGTGGAGAAAAGGGGACCTTCATGCATTGTTGGTGGGAATGCAGAATGGTACAGCCACTGTGGAAAGCAGTATGGAGTTATCTCAAAATATAAAGAAAATGGAACTGCCTTATGACCTAGTGATTCTTCTTCTGGGAATTTATCTGAAGAAACCTGTAATACTAATTCAAAAGAATATATGTACCCCTATGTTCACTGCAGTGTCGTTTACAATAGCTAAGATCTGGAAATAGCCCAAGTGTCCATCAGCAGATGAATGGATAAAAAGTTGTGGTACAGTTATACAATGGATTACTGCTCTGCCATAAAAAGGGAGTGAATTTTACCCTTTGTGACAGCACGGATTGACCTAGAGAACATTGTGCTAGGTGAAATAAGCCAGTCAGAGAAAGACAAGTACCATATGATTTCATTCATATGTGGAATTTAACGAACAAACTGAACTAGTAAGCAAAATAGAGACATACTCATAGACAGAGAGCAGGCAGACATCTGAGTGTGGAGACTGAGGGGGAGGGGTTGAACAAAAAAGAAAAAACTCATTGACATGGACAACAGTTTGATGATTGTGAGGGTAGAGGGGGGAATAGGATGGAGGTAGAAGAGGGTATAGAGGGGATAAATGGTGATGAAGAAAATAAAATAAAATAATTTAAAAAAAGAAAAGAAATATGTGTTGACTCCTGTCAAGGTGACAGCGCAGATTCTGTGGGGTGGGGACTGTGGCCATGAAGAAGACATGCACAGCCTTCGGCCTTCTGGCCTTGTGTTTAAGAGGAGGAAGCATACAGTGAGTTACACAATGAGCAAGTACACATGGGATTTCCAATGGTGGTAAATGGTATTATCAGCCTCTCGGAGGGCAACATTTGAACTGAGACACAAATGTGAAGGAAATGGCTACGGCATTTTTTAGAAAACTCAATGTGTGACTTTAAACACTGATTAACATCTTCAGACATTTATTTAACGGATATCAGTACTCTGCACTCTAATACCGGAAGCAGACTAGGTATTAGCAACATGTACGTATGAAAGGCAAATGTGTTTGGGGTGAATTAAAAAGCAAGGGATTGGCGTGCTGACACTGATGCCCACCAGGCATGACCTTTGTCCATTTCCTCTTGCAAAGACACACGGCTGATGTGCACAACAAGAATAACACTATGCTTTCCGGAATCGCTGGGTTACCAGCGCCTGCCGTGTTCCTTGGTATGAAGCAGAGCTCAACTCCCTCCTGAGCACACATCTGCTCTTGTATCTTTCACTCTTGAGAAAGTTAGCTCCTCTTTTCAGATTTCTTCATGCTTCTTCCCTTTCCCTGTCATCCACTGGTCCTACTACTCACCAATTATTCCTCAGGTCCTACTACTCACCAATTATTCCTCAGGTCAGTTTTTAGATTTCACAAAATGAAACTTAGAACAGAGCAAGCAGAGCACTAACATTTCTCCAGCTGAAGGACTGGCAAGCATGCCGATGACAATGACTCTCATTATTGTATTATATGGCAAGCTCACCTCATCCTGGGTTATGTGTATCACCTCATATGCATTAAAAGCTACATGCTAACCTAACACAGGGTAGATTTGTACTAATGAATGAGAGGTCACGTTGCAAGAGAAAACACAGAGTGGAAAGAGCCGAAGACAGAGAATAGGAGTGTGTGATGGCCCGGCTCTCCCGACTGCAACAAGGTCCCCAGGGACTCTTCTTCCGGCTCTAATGACAATAACGAGGTCTATTGTAGGTCCTCGGAGGCAGGGGATAATGATCATTTCAAGTCAGTGTACTTGATAATTTCAGGTCTTTCAAGTACTGATACCAGGTTACCTGGGCAAAGGTAAGGGGATCAAGAAGCCAGCGAGAGGCTGGGGTAAGAATAAACACAACACTGGGACCATTTGCACACCATAGTTTAATGTAAGTCCTTTAGATGCTGCAAAAAGTCAAGATAGCTGGGCAGAGAGCAAGGGGAAAGAGAAATGAACAAGAAACAAGAGAAAGGAATGCTCACAGAGTGATTCTGTATGAAGAGCATCATGTACCACATTTCTACTACTGTGATACTATGACTTCTAGCCAAGCCACATAATAATTACATGGTCAACGGCAATCTACAAGCCCGGAATCTCTACTAGGAGTACAGAACAGCCAGGTCACAGTTCTGAGATGAGCGTACTAACTCTGAGCCAGACTGGGATGAGTACAGGGCAGTAGCCAGGCTGTGATAGCTCAGTTCCTCAACAGACCGTCCAGGGTCAGTTCCCCTGAGGCTCTGCCCACGGGTAGGGAGCCAGACTGGGATGAGCATAGGGCAGCACAGCCAGGCCGTGATAGCTCAGTTCCTCAACAGACCATCCAGGGTCAGTTCCCCTGAGGCTCTGCCCACGGGTAGGGGTCTTCATCCTGGAATTGCAGGTCCACACCAGCTTTAACTAAATGTGCCCCTTTCCCATACAGTGGGTGTCTTGCCTTTAGTTTACAAGTGTGAAGACAATTTCAGAGAGCCGACCAGCGAGCCAGGTTTGCAGAGGTGGTTGGTGGCAAATATGGAATCTGCCTACAGATACCCCCGACTCCAAAGCTACATTTGTGACTCAAGTGGTTAATCTTGAAAACACCTAGGCCCCCTTTCTATCTCCTGACTTCAATCAAGTAAGCAGAGTTATTTGCTTTGCTCCACGTTTCCACACTTTATTGACCATAAATTGACCATATCATTTTCACTGCGGAAAATGATATGGCATCAAAATGGGGATTTACAACATTTAAACACTAACTTGCTTGTCAAGGAGCGTTGCTGATAATGGAACAAGAAAATAATTAAAACTGTAATTGAGAACATTCTGGAACAAACAATAGTGTTAATCATTTCTAGTAAATATGGTGTATCACTACAGCTAATACTGTTTTTCCTGGATTTCCTGTGATAGATATGCCTTCCCATGTATCCACTTATTTTCCATTAGACTAAAGACCATGATGCCACCTTTTCTTTTTCTTCCTACATGCTACTACTGGGGAAAGTGCACGTCTTCATGCACGCCTTTCCCCAGTAGGAACATGCAAATTACACCATGCCTGATCTTTTGATTTTCGCTCTCATTCTTGCATGTGTCACACAACCAGGTATGAAGTCAGTTTTTCCACTACAGAACTATAATCAATAACAGGGACTGGGATAAAAAGATTTGCCATATTCATTCACTGTCTTTATGAAATGAATTTCATCATAACTGAATAACTACTATTTCTATATATGGGCTACTGACTAAAAGTCTACAAAAAATATTTTGGGCCCAATAACTGGATCTGGAATTCAGTAGAGTGACATTTGATCTGCATCCTGGGTCAGGCCTAGTGTCATGCTGCTGGATTCGTCCTCACTGGTAGTCAGTACTGCAAATCCAGGTGCAGTCCAGAGCTGATGTTTTATTAAAGAAACACGTAACAGCTTCGGGAAAATACATACCTGATTGCACTTGCAGATAAGTGACCATAGGAGCCACTTGCTGAAGAGCTGCTGCGGGAATTATTGAGAATTGTGACCAAGGAGTTGGGAGACGTCCTTATCATGGTCTGAAGGTCAAAGCTATGATCGGAGAGTGGTGATATAGACAGTGTACGTTTTCGGTTTGGCCGGGCTGACAGCCTGGGGCTGGGGAATCTGGTGCCTGTTAATAAACAAAACAGAACCTGATTACCTGCCGTATCTGTTATTTATTGCTACGCGCCTGTGTGGAAGAAATGAAGGATAAGAAGTGGCAACTTCCGATGACAAGTACCTCTCCTCCCACTTGTGATCTACTGGATACAATTGAGGAAATTAGGGAGAAATATTTATCTTCCAAGGGCTTACCTCAGGGGAGCTCTGTTTATTAATGTGCAGGCAAAGTGATAAATTGCTAAACAAAAGGAAAAGACTTTTATGTGTTATCCCTCTCATTTCTAGTGATTTATGAATCTGATGGCTGCTTAGATATTCCCGTCATTAATTCACCACAAGCAACAAAGACAGTGGTTCCCACAGCTACACAACACACCACCCTGCCAACACCGCACCACTTTAAGGCAATGAGCCAAAGGAAAAATGAGTTAAAGTATCCTCAGATAAAAGATTCGGCTTGGTTATACACTCATTTCCCCACCATGTCTGTAGTCATCCGATTCATTTCTTAAAATAACTGCTAAATATATTACCCAAATTAATGGTTCTCAACTGGGGGGCAATATTGTCCCCAGGGGTCATATGACAACATCTGGAGACATTTTGCTTATCATAACTCATGGGGTGCTACTTACATCTAGTGAGGAGAGGCCAGAGATGCTGCTGAACACCCCGGATGTGTGGGACAGCTCCCCACAATGAACTGTCTGGCATCAAGAGTGCTAAAACTGAGGAACCCTGCCCTAAATTCCCCATAGCCTAACAACAACGTAAGTCCCAAGAAACATTTAAAATTTGGGGATGTAGTTTGTTTATAAAGTTAAAACCCCAGCAAGCACTATAATGAGATTTGATAAGTCTGTTTTAATTCTCTGGGCTTATTAAGTATCTACATTTATTAGAATGTTTCACCTTCAAAAAGATCCCACCAATGAAATGCTAATCTGGAGGTTAACAAGTCACAACTTAAAGGCATGCCAACCTGTATTAACCCTTCTCAACTGGAGAGTTAAAAAATAAACGCCCATTTACCTTCAACTTGGTAGATATCAGAGATCTTAATTTCAGGGCACAGCTATGCATGTGGCTCACAGGCCCACTCCTGCCTATTCTAAGGTTACATTCATATTACAATGTCATCAAAATAAAGTTTAATGAAAGAATGAAAACATAATCCCAAGAGATAGTGGCAAATAAAACACGATTACTTTGAACTAACAATGGAGGTTTTCTATGTCATGGCATGGATATGCCTGGTTAGAGGGACAAGGTAATTTTATGGTACCCAGAAAACGGAAGTAAAAGCTAAGTCTTCTTTATATAAAGAAGTCTAGGCCCCTGGTCTCTGGGAAACCCATTGGGAATATTTTCCTGTTCAGAGATGGACCTTGACACAAGCCCACAATCCAACATGCTTTAATGCAATAACATAGAATAGAGGAATATAAAGACCCTACAGATAATATTATAGAAATAAATAGAGAGATATTTTATAGTTAATAAAAAATAAATCACAAACTGGAACTTAGTAAGTTAGTACCACCCATGTATAAAACTGGGAAACCAACTCAAATGACAAATGTGGTACCTACTCAAATTTTTCTTTCAGGCACATTTAAAATTGAGTTTCTTCATTGAGAATAGTTTCATTAGCTGATTCAGGGCATGTTAGTACAAAAATAGTAATCCCAACTATGTACACACCTTTTAGTGTTTTATTATGGCATCTGCCTTAGACATAAATGTTTGACATTTACCACGAGAGGCTAATTTCATCATATAGAAATTTTTCAATGAAAAAATACATTCCACTTCCAAAAAATTTCCAAGGACAAACTGGACTTATGGTCAACTTCCAGACAATCCTCAACGATAACCCTTCTCACTTGGACTCAGGGATCAATGGCACAGTTAGAAGTAACAGCACATTTAAAGAGCTGATCTCTGAAACACCTTTAATTGTTTAAATCACTAACTAGCTAAGGAGACCATCTGATGCTATAAAACTCTAGTGACCTTATATTCCCTTCACACCTTCCAAAGCCAGACAGACACAGGCGGAGCCTAACTTCATCCCCCCAAGGACCATGGGGTTGCTCTCAGCCTGGCTGGTCCAGCAAATCTGTTTCTCCCTCCAAGATGGAATGGAAGTCGGTTTTCGCCAATATCAACAGTGTTGTTTTTCAGGTGTCCTCATCTCTAGCATGTTCCTTGTAGGGATATCTCTTGCTCTCCTGTCCCTTAAGGTTACTCGAATCCCAAAAGGTAGAACGAGAGCCATAAAACAGACTTCATTCTAGCATGCAACACAAAAATGCTCTGTACTGAAGCTGGCTGGAACCCAGCTATGCCCACTATTGGCACATTTAAAAATCAGGTGGTGCCTTAACATGTTTGGCTCAGTGGATAGAGCATCAGCCTGCGGACTGAAGGATCCCAGGTTCGATTCCAGTCAAGGGCACATGCCCAGGTTGCAGGCTCGATCCCCAGTAGGGAGCCATGCAGGAAGCAGCCAATCAATGATTCTCTCTTACCACTGATGTTTCTCTCTCTCCCCCTCTCCCTTCCTCTCTGAAATCAATAAAAATATATATTTTTTTAAAAATCAGCTGCTCATCTGAAAACAGTCTTGTGATTTTTGCCAACCGAGGAGTCCAGATCTGTGACAACGGGCCTGAGTGACCCGCTGGATCCCAGTTTGGCTTTGCTCCTGCAGCTGTGCTTTCATTGAAAAAGTTTAAAATGGTTTCACTTCGCTATTGGAAAAGTCTGCTAAATCCTGAGTACACTTCTTATGCTCTGCTTAACCAAATGCTATCTCAAGTATTTTAGTGAGAAAGAATATAGTACTTTATGCACTCCCCAACCCTTTCATTATGCTTTTCCCAACCCCCTAATAACCAAGCAAAGCAAGATAAAGTCAGCACTGTGAGGCAGTGATTTGGGATCCTCTGTTGAAGGGAAGAGGAGACAAGGTGAACACTTTCAAAACAGATGAAAGAGAAGAGGCCCAGGTCTTCACTGGTCAAACCATTTCCTTTTTAAATATAAGCTCCAGCATTCTTATTGTTCCAACACGGGTATCTTTGATTTGGCTTCCTGTTAATTGTTTTGTTTCTCCATTCTAATAAAATATTCTGACAAAGAAAAAGGAGTTTTCTTTTTATGTGATGAATGATAGGACATCTAAATTCCTACTTAATGACAATCAATTTACCATATACTTGGCAAATTAAAATTCCTTTAATTAGTTTTTACAAAGTAAAAGGATAGCTTCATCCTTTATTTAGATAAAAACCACCATTGTCTGACTAACCAGATTCTCATCAAATAAGGAAGGTAATGTATGGGCTGACCTTCCAAGGATTCTGTATTATTTTAATTATTTGCAGATTTAAAATAACGAATTTGCATAATAACACCGAACTTTTTTTTCAACAGTCCCTAATTGAAAAGTGCTTATGATGAATCGGAAATTGAAGCTCTCCACTCTACAGAGCAGAACAACAAAGGCCCCGCAGAACATGTAATACAGTTCTTCCACTTTGTGTGTGGTCATCAGCTCCCTAAGGGAAGCCTGCGCATGTTCAGGTTACTGTGTGACACAGCCACGTTAGGTCATGATGGAGAGACTGAGCTACAGGTTTCGCCTGGACCTTCTCCAGACCTACGGACTGAATTACTAACCAGTGCCAGAGTTGACAGATATATACCCTTTTCACAAAAGAATACAAATAGACGGTGATGGAAAAACACAACTTGTCCTAGCTGGTGTGGCTCGGTGGATAGAGCACTGGCCTGTGGACTGAAGGGTTCCGGGTCCGATTCCAGTCCTGGCACATGCCCAGGTTGCGGGCTCGATCCCCGGTAGGGGGCATGCAGGAGGCAGCCAATCAATGATTCTCATCATTGATGTTTCTATCTCTCTTTCCCTTTCCTTTCCTCTCTAAAATCAATTATATATATAACAAGTTAATCACTGCTACTAGGGAGTACAAACAAAATCTCAAGCGTATGCTCTCCTCAAAGTCATATTACTGTCATATTCAAAGGGTAGTGGCTTTCCTTGATGACCTCCTGGATGATGCTTCCAAGTCACTTCCTGCCACCTGACAAATGGATGTGGACTCAGAGAATCTGCATAGCTGAGAACTCTGGGATGTTCAGAAAAGTCACAACCATAGCCTCATTTTTCTACACATCTTGGTAAGTGACCCAGAGAAATCATCATAAGACCCCAAAATAACTGATATAAAATGCATCAAATGATCCCATTTTCTTCCACTGCTATGTACCAAAAATAGGCTTCTAATTTGGAAAGGCTTTTAATTTTTCTTAGATAAAAGGTTTTAGTGAAATATAAGTTTTAATGTAAAGAAAACAAATGAGGCAAATAAAATCAAATAAAAAAATGTCAAACTAAGTACAGTTCTTTTTAAAAATTAACTTCTAAGGCATAAAATCTATAAAAAAAACAAGAAATGACTAGGCAAAGTACACTCATGTAATCAAACAGGTTTCCTTATTTTGTTATCAAGAAGAGGAAGAGCGGTTTTTTGTTTATCGGCCGAATTACAATCGCCTGCACCTTCCAGTTCGTTCCGAGTTAAACAGGGGTCCTGGGATGGCCCCGTATCTGGCAGCCTCCTAAAATACCAACAGAACCAGAGCACCAAGTATTGGTGGCTCCTTCTCTTTCTCTGGTTTGTCAAGTTAGACAATTACCTAATCTTTGTGTCTTCCTCTCCAGTGCATGAGTTAGCATCTGCCACCCCTACAGAACATGGCCCCATCACTTACTGTCCATGGCATGAAAATATTCCATGTGGATGGCCCCAGCACCAGTGGTGGCAGCCGTGGGAAGGATGTCTGCGTAGGGGCTGCGCTGGCCAGCTAACAGAGCCATCTGATGATAGTATTCTGCTGGGCTGACTCCCGCGTGGGGCGCTGGAAGAGAAGAGGAGAAAAGAATGAAAAGGATGGGTACTTGTTGAAAGAAGGTCAACAGTCCATTTGTTATGCAGCCCACATCAACAATTCCTTTTATGGCTCATTCTAGTAAAATTCCTTTGACTCAAATTGTACTTTCACTTAAGTCTACCAGACATCTTTTATTTGGAAAGAAAACTGAAGGAAAAGAATAGAGCTAATAAAATCTATACTAATAAAAGGGTAATATGCTAATTAGACCGGGAGACCTTCCAGACGTCCTTCTGGACAAAGCCATGGTGGTGGAGCCGAGGCAGAGGCAGGTTAGGGGCGATCAGGCCAGCAGGGGGGGCAATTGAGGGTGATCAGGTCAACAGGGTGCAGTTAGGGGTGATCAGGCCGGAAGTGGGGGCAGTTGGGGGTGATCCGGCCAGCAGGCAGAGTGGTTAAGAGTGACCAGGCAGGCAGGCAGGTGAGCGGTTAGGAGCCAGTGGTCCTGGATTGCGAGAGGGATCTTCGACTGCCAGTTTAGGACAATTGGCAGTCGGACATCCCCCGAGGGGTCCCAGATTGGAGAGGGTGCAGGCCAGGCTGAGGGACACCCCCTCTGTGCATGAATTTCGTGCACCAGGCCACTAGTAGTGTAAAAAAGCCAGGCTGGATTACATAGATTTCTTACTTGGAACCATAGAAATGAGTCTGTGGGATCGGGCCTAAACCGGCAGTCAGACATCCCCTGAGGGGTCCCAGATTGGAGAGGGTGCAGGCCGGGCTCAGGGACACCCCTCCCCCCCTGCACGAATTTTGTGCACCGGGCCACTAGTACATTATAAAATATTTGAGGTTAGTGTTGAAGGGACCAAAGTTTTGCCACCCCAAAAAGATGTATTTTGGGGTATTGATTTTAAGACATGAAAGGCTCAGCAAGAACCTCTGACCCTCTTCCTTACACACCTAAAGGAATTCAGACAGAAAAAAAACCTGTTTACAAGAAAGGAACATCTGGGCACCAGAATTATCCGGGGATCACTTTGTAAATTATTCAACTGTCTGACCAATGTGCTGTACATCTGAAATTAACATAAAATAATACTGAATGTCAACTGTATCTGAAACATAAAAAAAGAAGGAAACATCATTTAACATCATAATATAAACTAAGTGTGGCAGATAGAGTGAAATCTAAAAAGGCCTCTTTATTTTGGACATCCCTCTGTGTCCAATTGTTTCCGGGTCACCCAGCAAGAAGTTGTTTAGCACATTTGCTCTTTCTCATCTACCTGCTGTATGTTGCCTGCTGTCCCTTTGAAACCCCAGACCCCTGCCTCCCTCTCCTTTCTCCAGAATGGCATCTTCAGGTTCCATATTTTTATGGCACCTCTGCATGTACATCCGTAATAAATTTGGGGCATTTTCTCCTGTTAATCTGTCTCTTATTAATTACCAGCCAGCCAGAAGAACTTAGAAGGTGGGAGAAAAATTATTTCTCGTACATCCCCCAGTTTAAAGAAATCTTCAAGAATTTAAAATGATTAAAATGTATGTATGTACAGAACTCATTCCCACCTCTGCCTCACAAAACAAAACTGTTTCTTATATGAAATCAGTGTGTTCACATTCCTTACAGTAGTTGGCAACTTAGACAACTATGCTTTCTTTCCAGACATACTTAACATACTTCCCTAAGCTTTCTGACAGGCGTGTCTGAGTCAGCTCTCTACCTGGAGGACCCAGCACTTACAAGGGGAAAGGCCGCACGGCTTTAATAACACACGACTGGGTGATAGCTGCAATTCTGTGTTCCATAAGTTAAAAGCTCTTTTTTCATTACAAAATCAAAAAGAAAATATACCTACCAATCTGGGGCAATTTACTGGCAAGAGTCAGCTCTGTAAGAGTGGGGTAATAATCAGTGTCCACCTGCCAATTTATGGCAAAACTGATGGATATTGCAGAGGTTCTGAGGGTGGTCTCCAGATTCGTGAAGATCTGGATACAAATGCCAGCTCTGCCTCTTGCTGCTCCATGAGGTTGTTGGGAGCAGGAATGCAGTGCTGCATGTAAGTGCCTATTAGCACATGGCATTCCATCACTAAAAGTCAGTTTTGCAATTATTATGTGGAAAAACTGGCATTCTATAAATAGCTTTGTGTTTCACATTTGTGCCCACAGACTTTCTTTTAAAATCTTTATTGCTGAAAGTATTCCATATACCCCCTTTTTACCCCATCCACCCCCTCCAGCCCACT